TTGTTCTACATCACTTCCTGTTCATTCATGATTGTGTACATAGTATCTCATACTATCTCCTCAGTTTATGAATAGACAGGAGCACTCAGTATAGAGGCTTCCTGTTCATTCATAACAGGGGCCGCAGAAAAGAGATTTAGGACTCTTTGTCCCCAATCTCCTTTTCAATTTAAAAGGTAAATATCAGGGTCTGGTTAGACCCATGATATTTCCCCAGAGCCCTCGACAGTAAATAAAAAATAATTTTAAAAAGGTTGGAAATTTTTTTTTCGTTTCGGCCTCACACATTTTTTAGTTTCGGTCTAAAAATTCAATTTTGGTGCATCTCTTGTTTATTCCTTTATTTTCACCTACCAGTAATACACTTTTAGTATTTGGATGACATTGCTCACTTTCCTTAGTGTATCAGGACAACAGAAACAGGATAGGACTACAGCACCTTGCCCCTCTCACCTTCTCTTATAACTTAGAGCAGGGGTCCTCAAACTACGGCCCGCGCGTCAGATCCGGCCCAACAGGGTCCTTAACCTGGCCTGCTCGGCCGCACGCCCCTTGCTATAGGTGTGCACATGGGGGTTTTACTGCGCAGGCGCAGAAAGCTTACAGCTCAATGAACTGTGATTGGTCGGCGCCAGAGCGAAACTCACACAGCCGCCAGCAAGCCTGAAAGAAGTGAAAGTGTGCTCAGCTGTGTAGTCTGCATTAGCACGTGGGGAAGTTTCGTCATCCTTTCTGTTTTTCATTGCATACTCATACTGTCTTCTGCACTGAAGACACCAGGGCAGGTATTTAATATGCATATCTCCCTTTAATGCCAGACAACATCACTAACTATGCAAATAACTTGACGAGGTGATAAAGTTCATGAAAGATTGCAAGGTATATTCTGGAAATATTGACCATCTCATTAGCCAAAAGCAGGCCATACTTCCCATTGAAATACTAATACATTTATGTTGATTAAAATTACTCTTAATTTTAAATATTGTATGTTTTTTCCTGTTTTTTTGCACTACAAAGAAAATATGTGCAGTGTGCAAAGAAAATATGTGCTGTGTGCATAGGAGTTCGTTCATATCTTTTTCAAACTATGATCTGGCCCCCAACAATGTCTGAGGGACAGTGAACTGGCCCCCTGTTTAAAAAGTTTGAGGACCCCTGACTTGAGGGTGTGGTTCTGTTGTCCCCAGAGACCACAGGAAGTTATCAGCTTTCTGGCAGGATCAGCGGGTAATTTTTCTCTTCCGTTCATTGAAGGACACAGCCATAGATTACTGGACCATCAGGGTTATATCGCCACCTGCAGGAGTAAGGCGCTAGGCATACAGCAAAAAGTGCCCCCCCCATCTGCAAGCAATGTAGTATGCCCTGTACTTTTGTGCAGCTGCTGCTCCCCTCCTCGCACTTTCCGGCAATTCCTGGTTGTCAAAATAACAGCTGGGTATTGCTGGGTAAATACAGCAGCTATAGAAGCTGTCAGAAAACCAAACAGGCCGACATAGTGTTTATAAACACTATTCAGATGTGATATAGAGAGATATAAAGTAACATTGTTACTTCTGTATCTACTCTCACTTATCTGCAGATCAAAGGGATGACCTTCAATCTGCATATACTGAGGAAACACAGCGGCTTAGTGGTTAGCACTTCTGCCTTGCAGTTCTGGGGTTCTCAGTTTCAATCTCTAACCGGGGCACTATCTGTGTGGCTTTCCTCCCACATTCCTAAAGGGCATTATGTTAGGTTAGTTGGCTCCTGTCTAAAGTGGCCCCAGTATGTGTCTGCGTATTCATATGAGACAGGGACATTAGATTGTAAGGAAGGGACTGATGTGAATGAAAAGAATGTAAAGTGTTGTATAGGGAGATGGAGTCATTGATATAACTATACAGGTGAAACTCGAATAATTCGAATATCGTGCAAAAGTAATTGCAGTAAGTGCTGCAAAAGGGGCCCAAACCAAGTACTGAGTACATAGCTCCTGGGGTTTGTACATCTCTGTTTTAATGTATGATTTTGTTTTTATAAATATAAATAAAGGGATGCACAGATACCAGTTTTGCGAGTACGAGTACTGATACGTGCCCAAGTACTTACAAGTATGAGTACTGATACATTTTTGTTTATTGTCATGTGACAGTTTTTCTAAAACAATACAGACTAATGATTTCAGGACAGTGGTGGAGCACCAGAGCTAGGTCCCAGCTGCAACCGCTGCAAACCTGGTAGTTCTCATGAAAATGCCGAGTATCTGCACTGGTACTTGAAAAGTATCTGTGCATCCCTAGTTATAAATATAAGTGTGATTCATAGATAAAAGATTGTAGAGAAATATATAAAACTTAAATTCCTGTTAGCTTCTCTTCAAGTGCCATCTAAAATAAAAGACTTCAAGTCTAACAATTGTGACATTGGCCCTTGGGTAGATAAGTCAACTTATCTACCAAATAGGATGATCTCTAAGCTCACTCCCATGATGGACTACAAGCTCAATACAAATGAGTAAACTAAATGTGAAATTGTAGTCCATCACAGGAGCGAGCTTGGAGAGGTGGCTACTTTACAGCACACAGGGACCATGGGGAACAAAAGTAGCCACCCACCAGAAGGAAGGACAGTGTCAGCACCAATTCAGAGATGATTTGAGTTTAGTGTCACTTTAACCATACATAAGGAGCAGTTATATAGAATACCCTGAAAATAACAAATCTCCCCAGGCTCTCTGTAATTACAGACCTGATAGGGAACGGGATTTTTTAAAATTAATACAAGAATGCTTTTTTCTTTCTCCACAAATAAAAGATTCTGTAGTTGTTATGGAACTATCATGGGTGGACTGTATTAGAGAAGTGAGAGTATCAAAGGCATATGATGTCAGGTTTACATAATCCATAAATGTCTGCTTACCATTCTATGAAGAATGAAATCCCATCACCTTATATTAGAGCATTTTAAACATTCTACATTATTATGTAAGATCAAGTGAATAGCAGAAACAGGAACACCAGGCAACATCTTTAGCTACATATAGAAGAGATTAATATGTGCACAGCGTGATTAAAACAAGACATAACGATAGTAAGCAGTGTACATGAACAGTAAACATAAGTATGAATCTCACTAAGGTTATAAATCTGACAGCTCGGTAAAAGGCCTTGTTGTGTCCTTGGTAAAAAGGAAGGCTACACTGTATAAATAATGTTAAAGCTAAACTCCAGGCAGATATAAAAGACACAAATTAATACAGCTCTGCATTCATTAGTAATTAATGAGTAATCCTAATCCTTACAGTCTTGTCTTGAACTGTTTTATTACTGTACTGTCTTCTTAATTTAGTAAAGTGCTGTGTGAACTGTTGGCGCTATATAAATCCTGTATAGTAATAATAATGTGTGGGTCAGCAGTGCAGCAGTGTCCATGTGCCTGATCATGATGGCCCACACACTCATACATATATGTATAAGGGTCTTCTGGCCATTCTAGTGACATCATTGGTTTCTCTTAGACTCCCCTGGCCGCAAAGGTGAACAGTCTGTATTGCTACACTAAATGGTGCTCACAAATCTTTCCTCTAAATACAGTGAAGGGAACTTATGAAAACTGGAGCAGACAAAATCTGGAGCAGCTGTTCATGCCAACCAATCAGCTTCTCTCTTTCATTTTCAAATCTTAAATGAATAAACTGAAGAGAAAAGCTGATTGGATGCCATGCACAGCTGCTCCAGATTTTGTCTGCTCCGGTTTTCATAAATTCCCCCCAGTCTGCGAAGGTGGAGCTTTGCATTTAAAGGAGAACTATGAGGTGAGTGCTTTTCACTCACCTCATAGTTCTAGCCAACCTGTGACAATGAGACTGTCACAGGTCGGCTCAGTAGATTGGGAGGTGAGGGAACACATACCGGCGTTCGTTCACCTCTCGATCCTGTCACCGCTCTCTGCCGTGACAAGGGAGGGGCTGGATTTCCCCCTCCCCGCTCCGATCCTCCAGCGCTGACTGGCGGAACGGACGGGTGAAGGGGTGCGGGTACAGCTGGCTCTGCCTCTAGATAGGTAGAGCCAGCTGTCAGTCACGCAGCTGGGCGGATCCCGGCATAATTGTCGGGATCCGCTTCAGCTGCGGCATCTCAGTATACCGCAAGCTGTAGCTCGCGGTATACTGCGGCGTCTTAGCGTACTGAGACGCAGCAGTATAATGAGCTTAGGGTGACGGGAGGACGCTAGTTTGTGTCCTCCCGTTACCCTAAGGAGAACTATTGGGAAAAGCCCTAATACCATAGTTCTCCTTTTAAGGTATTTCAGCAACAGGCATAAACCAATTCAGGTTTTGGGTTTAAGTTTTTGGACCAGCTTTGTGCTTTTTCCACCATACATGAGCTAGACCACCATGACTTGATTTGGGGGGGGGGGTTAGTCAAAAAGTGTTAATCAGAGGAACCCTAATTCGCCAGAAATCAAGAGTAAGAATAAAGGAAAAAGTCTGAGGCCAAGTGTGACTTATAAACACAAATGAAACACGGATGGGGCAAATTGTGTGGAATTAATTAGCAAAAAGCCACATTAAGTCCACAGAAGGCCACACCTACTTTTATTCCAAAAGATATTCCTGCACTTTTATAATTAGCAGATTAAGTTTGCAGCTTACTATATTGTATCCCTGTAAAGGGTCAAAATTCAACTTGTCCGAAGGTATAAATGGTATCAAATCTTGTTTTATAGTATGGAAAGTTTTACATTTGTGACTATGTTTATGTTTAAATATATTATGTATAGAATATATTTATAATATTTTATATATGTAAAACATAATTTGTAAAACATAATATATGTATTATTTATATATCTAAATATATTATGTTGTGTTTAAATGAATTAGGAGGATAAAGCCAATTGTGTTTCGGATTTAGTTGTCCTGAAAAGGATTGAAAATTCTTGCCAGTAGATTTTTTTGTAGATGTTTATGAAAGCAGCAGCAACAACTAAGTATTGTGTCCTTGTGACAGGCGAACAGAGATGCTGTTATTAGCCGCGCTCCAGACCAGAAGGAAGACCGCGCTGTCAGCTTACAGAATGCTTCTGCAGTATATGACCTGTTGAGTATCACAATGGCCAGAAGAGGGCAGTATGCCATGCTTTCTGAGGTAATGCTCTCCTGGAAATAGAATCTTCTATGCTCTTTACCTCTCTAAGGGTTCATGCTGACATGCGTTGTTTTCCTGCATTTGAACGCACAACGAACACAGTTCAATAAAATCCCATTGACTTTAATTGAGCATTACACATGTCAGGTCAGAGGCTTGGCCAGCTTTAAGTTGTGCTGTGCTTCTTTGGATGCAGCAAGTCATATTAAGGTGCCTTTGTACTGCAGGCAAAGCACTCGCTGCATTTGCTAACCAAGGCATGCATTTGTGTTTAACTAGCAAACGCGCTGTTTGAAAAGAATGCCCCTCAACAAGAGTCCTAAGACTGTTTATACACAGAAAGACATTGCAAGGTGGTAACTGTAACACATTCACTATATCTAGAGTATGAATGGTCACCTCAGAAGGCATTGCTAGTATTTTGTAAAGAAAGAAAAAAATTACGTATACAGCGCAATACTCATATTGGGATCATTTAAAGTGACACTAAACTCAAGTGTTAGATCTTAAAAATGCGTTCACATATCCTATTACCAAAAATGTATCTTATTTGTGTATCACTCGGCTGTAGGCCCTCAAATCATCTCTGAATTGGTGCTGACACTGTCCTTCCTTCTGGAGGGGGGCTACTTTTGTTCCTCATGGTCCCTGTGTGTGTTGTAAAGTAGTCACCGCTCCAAGCTCACTCCTGTGATGGACTACAATCTCATGTTTAGTTTACTAATTTTCTACTAAGATTGTAGTCCATCACAGGAGTGAGCTTGGAGTGGTGGCTACTTTACAACACACACAGGGACCATGGGGAACAAAAGTAGTCACCCTCCAGAAGAAAGGACTCAGAGATGATCTGAGGATCTACAGCACAAATAAAAATGTAGTTTTTTTCATAGTTAAGGTACGTGAATATATTTTTAAGATTTCATTCCTGAGTTTAGTGTCACTTTAATGGCAACACTCTCAGGTGCCTTTTATGATAAAGCAATATAACATTCCACATGAAGTGCTCCTCCAAATATATAGTCCAAAGTAACAACAATGTTGTTTCAGTGCATCACAAAAAATTCCTGACAGTTTATCTCTCTGCACACAAATTGCTCCAAAACCTGTGTGTACACATTAATACTCTGCTAGTATAAAACACAATATAAAGTTTAGTAGATTCAGTTCTATAGAAAGTTTGTGGTTAATTAATAAATGTTACGCATTTCGGTAGTGCCCCTAGATGGTGCTAACGGGTATAGGAACTTTTATAAATCAACGTTTTATGCAAATGCAAACTTTCAAAAAAAAGGTCAAGCTTAGCCCCACCCCTTTCAAGCCCTCCCTTTTGATACCAAAATGTGATGGGTAGCCTCACTGACTGGTATGAAGGCTCTGGGTGGAATCGGGCTCAATTGGAAATAGTGTGCTGCTTCTCCCCATATCATGCTTTTCATCCTGTTCTTAATATGCATTGCTTAGTATTGTGACAGGTTTACCTTAAGGAATATTTTTCAGTTCTTTTCTGCTAGAAATGAGGGAAATTATAAATAATTATTCTCATATTCTGTTACAGTATACACTAACCGGCCATGTTATTATGTACACCTTGCTAGTACCAGGTTGGACCCCCTTTTCCTTCAGAACTGTCATAATTCTTCATGGCATAGCTTCAACAAGGTGTTGGAAACATTCCTCAGAGATGTTGGTCCATATTGACATGATAGCATCACGCAGTTGCTGCAGATTTGTCGGCTGCACATCCATGATGCGAATCTTCCGTTCCACCACATCCCAAAGGTGCTCTATTGGATGTAGATCTGGTGACTATGGAGGCCATTGGAGTACAGTGAACTCATTGTCATGTTCAAGAAACCAGTTTGAGATGATGTGAGCTTTGTGACATGGTGCATTATCCTGCAGGAAGTAGCCATCAGAAGATGGGTACACTGTAGTCATAAAGGGATGGACATGGTCAGCAACAATACTCAGGTACTAAAAGATGCTCAGTTGGCACTAAGGGGCCCAATGTGTGCCAAGAAAATATCCCCCACACCATTACACTACCACCAGCCTGAACCGGTGATACAAGGCAGACTTTATCCATGCTTTCATGTTGTTTACACCAAATTCTGACCCTACCATCTGAATGTCACAGTTGAAATCGAAACTCATCAGACCAGGTAATGTTTTTCCAATCTTCTATTGTTCAATTTTGCTGAGCCTGTACGAATTGTTGCCTCCGTTTCCTTGCCTTAGCTGACAGGAGTGGCATCCGGTGTGGTCTTCTGCTGCTGTAGCCCATCTGCTTCAATTTTCGATGTGTTGTGCGTTCAGAGATGGTATTCTGCATACCTTGGTTGTAACGGTATTTGAGTTACTGTTGCCTTTCTATCATCTCGAACCAGCCTGCCCATTCACCTCTGACATCAACAAGGCATTTTCATTCACACAACTTCTGCCCACTGGATATTTTCTTTTTTTCGGTCCATTCTCTGTAAACCCGAGAGATGGTTGTGCGTGAAAATCCCAGCAGATCAGCAGTTTTTGAAATACTCAGACCAGCTCATCTGGCACCAACAACCATGCCACGTTCAAAGTCACTTAAATCCCCTTTCTTCCCATTCTGTTGCTCGGTATGAGCTTCAGGAAGCCGTCTTCACCACGTCTAGATGCCTAAATGCATTGAGTCGCTGCCATGTGATTGGGTGATTAGCAATTTGTGTTACCAAGCAATTGAACAGGTGTACCTAATAAAGTGGCTGGTGAGTATATACTGCATATATTATATACATCTGCTTATTGTAGATCTATGTATATTCTACATAACAATAATAATTCAATATACTGATTTTGCATGATTTTATATGAGAATGCGTGGCTTTGCAAGAGGAAACAATGACTTACAAAATGGGGTTTAGAAGACTATGGATTCTGTTTATGAGTTATGGAAAGAGGAAGACTGATAAGGAAATTGGGTGACCACAGGTCACTGTTGCCATTTGTGCTTCCTTAATGAAAGCACAATTATAATTAAAGCTGAACTCCAGCCTTACCCTTCAGTGTTGCATAGTTGTACAGGTTGCTCTCTGGTGCCGAAATTAATTACTCTGATTTCATTGAAGGATATACAGTCATGAGGCTACAGGAACAGCAGTGCTCAGGTGCAGACACATGTCAAGACGCGGACTGCTATTTTTTTAGGAGAAATTAAAGGCAAACGGTACATTTTTAAGGATACTACTTTGTAACAATTACATTTTCTAGATATTTCCTGTAAGACCACAAATCTTTACTTTTTGAGTATAGGTCCGCTTTAAGGCCTATCCATTCCTGATTGGCTCTATGCTGCCTAAATCCCACCATGGAAACGATAAGAGATTACATTATTGGACAATTTGATGTAACCAAGAGATTTGTTATTTTGAGAACACATTAACTAAATATCACTGTAACTGATACATAACTATTCCAGAACCTAAACTCCCAGGGCTGTCATGGTAACATACATATAAGGGGTGGGGCTAATGGAACTGGAGGAAAGGCTTAACACTCTTACAGAATACAATATTAATTCTATTAATGTCCACCTTTCCTGTACTTGTTCTTTATGGCTATATGTTACGAAAGCATTTTACAGTGTCATTTTGCTCCTTTTCACCTGAAATGTACATTCCAACTTCAAATATTGCCAGAATGATTCATATATCCATTTGCAGGGATCCTGTGATTTTTGGCAACTCTGATCCTGCAGCTTTCAAACAGCTTAATTGCTCATGTGCTCGTAATGGAGTCGTGTGGTTGACTGGTCTTCAGCCATAATTCTGCCTGAAATCATACTGTAACAGCTGCATCCACCGGCCGAACAAACACTAACATTGTGACCTGTGCTTGCTCTAAGCTGAGCACTCTAGAAAATTAAGAGGTAGCAAGGGGTTCTTCTGTTCAGTCTATCAACCCACAAGCCGTATGATTTCTTTTTTGCATTGGAATACATCCATTAATGGGCTCATGCAGGCAAAGTATAAAAACACTGTTATTAAAGGGACACTTCAGTCAAACTTGAAACATAGGGGTTCATTTATAAAAGTATAGGAAATTTCTATGCTTGTCTGCGCCACCTACGGGTGCTGGTGCCGTGCAAAATTAACCTTTTATTGTTATAAAATGACTCAGTGAACACAACCTTCCTGTCCATTTTCTCTTATTTTAATCCTTCTATACATTTTCTGCACCTGGCTGGGCTGTTCACTCCCTGTGGTTGTCAGTAGGGATACACCGATGCCGATACCGAGTATTTGAGCAAGTGCTCGTACCTGCCCAAATGCTTCAGATGTCTATCCCGATACCGGAACTTCCGGTATCAGGAAGCCGGGCGGCGAGTCGTTACACGCTGCCAAGCTTACTGATTGGCCAGGAAGCCGGCTCCATGCTCCCTGGTCACCTGGCGATCGCACTGCGGCGGGGGGAGCGTGACTGCGATACCATTGACTTGAATGGCACAACCCCATGCCCCGGAATGCAGGGAGGCTTACAGTATGCGATACAGTGCGTTCCAGCAGCTAACCATGCTGGAACGCACTGGAATTGGTGTGAACAAGCCCTAAAGGACCATTACAGGCAGCACATGAAAGCATCAGTGAACAGCTAACCCTATCCAGAAAACATTGCAACTAAATCTGTGGCAAAATCAGAAAGGCCATTTATTTACCTTAGTTGCATTCCTTTGTAATCCCAGATTCGACAGGTGCTCTGGGTGGATCTGCTTTCTGAAGTCTGTGTTTTTTAACCGGACTGTGTGGCACAGCAATGTCTGCTTTCCGGTCCGGTGCAATCACAAAAAATAGTGCATTAACTATTTTTAGCGATTGCACTGGAATCCAGGGAGGCTTACAGTATGTGATCCAGTGCGTTCCAGGAGCTAACTGTCTTGGACCAAACTGGAATTGTGGCAATGGGCATTCAGCCACAATTCTTGGAAAACACCATCAGATCTCTCTGCCATGCTTACTGGCTATCTTCCTGAACACTTCTGAGAATGATTGTTCTCACCCACCTTTGGGGATGTAGTTTTACTGTAACCTATGCACCAATCTCCTTTACTGGCTCAGCAGCAGTCTCCGTGTACAATCATTATAGCTCCAGTGGGCTGGGCAAACTTCATTCACTCATACAAAGAGGGTTTTTTGTATGTTGTATACCAGAATGGCTATTGACATTCAACGATGAACACTTCTCCAAATAATGTTTACTGAAGTTGTTCATATTGGGATTTGAATACATTAGTGATAAAATAGGAGTCCTATGCAAAGCATTGATGTAGATTAAAGGGAAACCTGTCCTGACATCAGCATGGGGTCCACTGGCTTTTATTCGCACCAGAACTGCTTCTCTTTCCCAACAAGCTATGGAAATGCAAATGCCGCTTGAAGCAGATCAGGAGGCGGTCAACTGCAAGTCAGATGCACCTGTCAATGAATTCCGGATGATCTCAAAAGTGTCTCAAACTGATGTCAAAATCAGTCTACACTCGCCAGTTGACTGTTAGCTGCATGGCTGTCGTGCTGACTTTAGGGCAATACTTTGAGTCGCTGACCGAGAACAGGTATGCAAATAAGGAGTTCTGACCTTTGTCTGACTTTCCTGATCTGCATTCTTCAGCTAGGTCAGTGATTGAAAGCAGAGCTCCAGGTAACTAGCATTTTCAGAAGGAAGGCCAACAGTGGCAGTCCCCATATTACTCAAATGACAGGTTGATGCTAACCATGTTTTCTTAGTTTTTTGCTATGGATAGATAAGAGGTGATTTTTGCTATCGGTGTCCCATTGAGTAGATTTTCCTTAACTTCCTGTCCTGTAGACACAACAATCTTTGAATCGTGTGAGAAATTTCCCCCTTAAAAAATGGCCCTGTTTGTATGATATATAACTGTAAGATTTTAGATTTCCTACCACTGACAATGGTCATAAATACATTGGGTCAATTTCCCTACCGGGTCAGAGAAAACAACATAGTGGAACATATAGCCGGCTTCCTGGGCAATCAGGAAGCTGGGTGGCGAGGAATGACCAGCCTCCCGGCTTCCTGATTGGCTAGGAAGCCGGCTCCATGCTTTTTGGTTGGGAAGCCAGCTTCCTGGCCAATCAGCATTGAGCTGGCCTAACAGCTGGCTCAATGCTGATTGGCTGGGAAGCCGGTTTCCTGGCCAATCACAATCGAGCCGGCCAGACAACATGGAGCAGGCTTCCCGGACAATCAGGAAGCCGAGCGGGATTTGTCATTACCTGCCGCCTGGCTTCCTGATTGCCTGGGAGGCCAGCTCCATGCCAGCGGAAGCACCGGTTTCGGTTCTTGGCATCGACAAGTACCGAAAGCAAAATATCGGTACTCGATACCAAAAAAACGGTATCGGTGCATCCCTAGTTTTAACACTTGGTCACTCTTCCCCACACTGTCCAAGAAAAATTTCAGGTTTAGGTACACTTCAATGTTTATCCAAAACCAAGAAAAAAATGGAACATATTCCAACTTACCAATCCTTAGATATGGGTTTTCTTTTTTTACTTTTTTTTCTCTATTTTTTCCTGATGATCCTGCTAGTAAGATACTTCCTGTCCTAGGGTGACACCACTCACCATACTGCATGTATGGAGAGGCAGCATTTTCAACCTAGGACGGTATTACGAACCTGGTCTGGGAGACTGGATGGTTGAGGAGGCTTCCCTTGCACCTTGTGTCTTATGGCCTTTGAGGATGGTGACAGAGGCCAGGCAGACGCCGAAAATCAAAGTCGAGGCAAGCCGAGGTCAATATCTAGGAGGTCAGATGTAGTACCAAAGGAAGAGGCAAAAGAGTAATCAAAAACAGTCCAGGGTCATAAAGGCAGGCGGCAATCAAGGCAAGTAGTTGAGGCAGGAACGGGTCAAAATTCAGGCAAACGGCAATCTAATATTCAAGACAGGAAACAGGAGACACAACACAGACAGGAGCTGATAAGACAATTCAGCAAGTAAGTGACAGGCTGGTTAGGTTTAAATAGAGAAGTGAACTAATCAAATACGTCACTTCCTGTGTGCCTTTGGCACGTTTTTCTTAGAACTCGCTCCCTCTGCGCATCACTTCCGGTGCGCCATACTGCGCTTCTTTCGATGGGAAATGGTTGTTGTGCGCATGCGCGTATTCCTCTTCTTAGCGGTGCTTGGCGCATGCGCGGAACGGGCATGTTGCTTACAGACGGGAAGTTTGTTAGATCAACAGAACACCTCCCCCTCTTATCTCATAATTTTTTCCCCCTTATCGGGTCACATTTGTAGATAGAACTTTGGACAAAGGGTTGCAAGGGATATTGAGAAGAGACATTACCAAGATAAAATTAATTAATATTCTCTTTCTTTTGTTTGGTGGATAGGACACCTGAATATTAGTGTATCTCTGTGTCTAAATCATCCATGATGTTAACAATAGTACATTCTTTTTTTTAAATTATTTACATGAAAATTATGTGACAAGAAGTGAAGCCTGTACAAAAGAAAGGCTTCATATATGTGTAAACACTTATCACAGATACATCGAGTCATAGCTCAAGCTATGACCAAGGCCGTTTAAGCGGGAAACACGTAAGCTATATCTACTGATTGGACAAGGCAACCTTTCAATAAATTATTGCTGAAGGAGACACATGTGCCAGTATTTGCTTCATACATGTGTGCCTAGACAGCACTGTCTACACCCAACATCTAGAAGATATTTCAGTTGACTCTGGGCTTATTCACATCTTAAACTGTCCATACCCAATAATGAATTGTTACAGATAATTATTTTATAAAATAGCAAATTGTAGCTTAGGCTTTTCTTTCATTTTTATAGGAAACCTATAACAGTCACAGTCAAATAACTGTCAAATTAAAAAAAATGCTGGTTTCTGGGGAAAAAATCACATAAGTCTAACAGCCATACAAGTGTGAAACATTGTATAGCTGATCTCCAGGCAGATGTGAGAAAAAATTATTAAAGCTATGTAAACATTATCACATCAATAAATATTTGAATTTTACCTGGTATAGTCAGTGCCTGCACAGCCTGTACAGCAGGGCTCAGATGGGGAAAGGAGAAGCAGCACAATGAGCCAATTAGGTGTGTTACAGTGCAAGGAGCATGCTGATAGAAGAAAAGAGCCGCGTGACATTGAGATGAAATCATCAGGGTGCTGCCTTTCCTTTTACTATCCAGTCACAGTCATCCAGTCATTCAAGAACAACTCTCCGTACAGTGATGAGCCAATAGTAGAACACAAGAAGCGGCAGGAGGGGGTGGGTCATGAGCCGGAACCACAGCAGCTAGTGGCTGTTTTCTTAATAAAGTGACCCAGTTTCTGGCACCAACACTCAGGAGAGGCAGTTTAGCATGGACACCTTTTCATTAAGATTAGATTTCTTATTTAAAACATTTTCTGATTCAGGTTTTCTCTTTTTTTCAGTGTCTGGAGAGGGCCATGAAGTTTGCATGTGGAGAGTTTCATCTTTGGTATCAGCTGGCATTATCCATGATGTCTTGTGGCAAGGTAACAGCATTAGATATATGGCCAGATGAAGGTTACAACTGTGGGATTATAGGATTATATATATAATCTAGTGATTCAACACAGATCATAATGGGAGTCATGACTGTCACTATGAACATGCTGTTGGAAGGCTTCAGTAAGCTTTCGGGAATGCTCATAGCTTGATGAAAGCTTGCTAACAGCTTGTATATAGTGACACTCCCATTAAGATCTGTATTTAACATTCCTATACTGGAACTGAGTATACTTTAGTATGCTTTACAAATGCAGTGCGGAATCTTGCTGTACACACACTGCTGGCATACAAGCTGAAGCCTATCTGAGTGAACAAGGTCTTCAAATGCAGGCTAAAAAAATTATAACTAAAATCTGATTGGTTGCTACGATGCACCCATGACTTGTGATTGAAGTGTCTGGGGCACAGACTAATGAGGGCTGCAATGTAAATGAAGATAGATGAACCATTAAATCAGAATTCCAGCTTCAATAAATAAATGAAAAATTGCCTGTGAATATTTCATATTTACCACACATTGCAATATCTGTGCAAATTCTTTGCTCTCTAAAGGCTCTTGCAACGGCTTTTAGGTCAAAAAACATGACCTACTGCTTTCCTGAGATGGAAACATCTGAATTAGTCAGCCTTTAAAAAACATGCTTTGCAGCATCTTGGATAACATTCAATTCAAAGGTGAACTATGGAATAAAAAAGTATTGTCTAAATACAGGAGCCATATGTATTCTTACTTGAATCTTGGGGTGCTTTGTGTACTTCTTTCTAGATCTGTCCAGTAATCCAATGTCAAACTTAGCACTCTGTGCGGGAGCTTCCGGTAAAATTGCGGTGCGTTGCAATAAAAATAGAGAAGGAGGATCCTGTGTTGGTGCCCATTCAAAATGAACTACAGGGTCGAAATGAATGGGTCATGGTGACACAACATGATGCATAACAGGGGCTGACTGGCGACTTTTTCTACACTGCCTGATTAGAGGGCCTCTCCTGCCTCATCCAGCTGGATCAAGCAGACGCGGCCCTCTAATCAGGCAGTGTAGAGGGCAGCCCGAGAAGCCGAGGACCCAGCGGCCGCCGATCACAGATGCCGCATCGGATGCCGGCGACAGTGGGGGGTCACGGGGGCCGTACGTGACGGCATCGGAGAGGCCCGGGGGGCAATTGCCACCCTGCCCCCTGGCCCAGTCCGCCCCTGATGCATAACTTATTTTGTGGCACATGGGTCACCTAAACAAAATCATGTGTGAACAGGCTCCAACTACTGTGATAATGTCAGTGACTTGGATTCGGCAATGTGGAGTCTTCCTCTCTGAGACAGTTATTCCATTTACATACATTTTACAAGGTGTTTGAAGTTTCCTCTTGACTGAGATGGAAGGACAGTAGAAGCACAGAAAATATCTGTGATTTTCTCTATTACACTGTAAACTTTAGGACTAAATAAAGTGGGTGACATTGGAAATGTGAATCAAAATAAAAGTGCTCAATGTCCCTGGTAAAGGATTTTCACAACTGCTGGGAATATATGCCCGTTCCTAGATAGGCAGAGCCCGCTGTCACTCACGCAGCTGGGTGGATCTCGACAGCAATGTCGGGATCTGTCCCGGCTGCGGCTGTCTCAGTATACTGCAAGCTGTAGCTCACGGTATACTGAGCTTTGGGTCGCGGGAGGACGCTAGTATATGTCCTCCCGTGACCCTTAAGAGAACTATGGGGAAAAACACTTACCCCATAGTTCTCTTTTACAAAAGAGTAAGGATAAACTGTTAGGGGTCTGTTTATCAAAAAAAAATGTGCATAGCATATTCATCCAGCGAAACTGCAGGTACATTTATTCTGTTCAAGTTAACCAGCTGTTCTGAGAATGGGGCAAAAATGAATGTTCTAATTTCATTTGAAGGTCAAATGTTCTTCAATAGGTATATTCGTATAGAGTAGATTGAATCAGGAAAATACCACCTTATGGCCACTAGATGGAGTTGAGGATCATAGGAAATAAATACATGTTGATACTGAGCTACAATGTTCCAATTCAAGAGAACACTGGAGAGAATGAACATATAATTGTAACCATTACTATTCCTGTAGTGGCAGTGTTTACATTTAACTGCTCATTCTATCTCATTACTCTAATGTATTTTTTTCCTCTGTTCTTCAGCTCCATCTAGTGGCTATAATTTAGTATTTTCTCAATTCACTCTGATCTTTATGAATAAACCTATTGAAGAACATGCGACTTGAAGAGAAATGACACTAAGCACATTTGTTTTTGCTCAATTCTTACAACAGCTGGTTAACTTACACAGAACAAATGTACCTGCAATTTTTCATGGGAAATAAGTTATGTACATTTTTATAAATAGACCTCTTAGGGTATGCTTTGATCACAGGTCCACGTGTATGCACACATTTGCTCGCATATCAATCATGATCACTAAACCTATTTAGCTGGAAGGTGATGTTTAATGTGTATGGTGCACTCCTAGTTTTCTAATTCTGTATTTGCTACAGGCATGTCATTGCACAACACAACATAGGCGTAAATATAAATTCTCTTAACAAGTATGAACATTTAAACCTAACAGCTCTCATTTTGTCTTTTCTAAAAGTTACGCAAATAGACCACTTTTATCTGAGAAGTTACATCACAGCTGATAGTAGCCTGTGAAGTTTGTGTTTCCTTGTGGGTGAAATCTGAGAGGGAGATGTAACTGAGCTGTGCCTCAAAATACCAGCTTTGCTATTTGATGTCACTTTGCCAAACGCTGTCCTTCTGCACTCTCATTAAGTGAACATGACACAATGAATCATCTTATGTCATATCGCCCACTGCAGGGTTTAAATAGCTTCCCGCAAATAACTGTTCCACAGGAATCCAATGCAGCCGTCGCCTTGTAAATTATTATATCCCCCAGTCAGGACCGCTGAGCTCGTCATATCAGATTTGACAAAAAGACAATGAAGACCAAGGCTCGGGCAGCAACTGTGCACTGGGGGAGCCGAGCGGGAACCAAACTGCCTGCCAGTCCCAGCTTGCATGGACAGTATTCGGTCAATAGACTAATAACTTCTATAACTAATTTACATTCTTTTCATGAAGACTTTTATTTGGAAGAGAGGTTAGTTTATAAATTAATTCATGGATGAATATAACAACAATTTAGGAAATGATATGAAAGAAAAGATTTTCATCTCTATAACCAAAACATTTACTATGTACTCCTGTGACCTAAAACTCAGCATATAGCAGGCTATTGCCCATTAAATGCTGACAGCAAAGAGCCGCGCTGCGCCTGGGAAAGATCCCGACAATATTGTCGGGATCTACCCTGCTACTTGATTGACAGCTGGCTCTGCCTTTCCAGAGGCAGAGCCAGCTGTGCCCGACCCCTGCCCCATCTGTCTTTCCAGTCAGTGCTGTAGGAATGGAGAAGGGAAATTGGAAACTGACAGTCACCGCTCTCTGCAAGGAGGAGATCGGGAACTGAGCAATCAGCGGTATGTGATTGCTCAGTTCTTGCTCTATAAAGCCAACATGTGACAGCTGCAGTGTCACGCGTCGGTTCTAACTATGGAGATGAGCATATTTCACTCTCCTCATAACTCCTTTAATTGCTTCCTATTATCGCCGATGTGGAAATTTACCACCTATTGTTGTGACTGTTTTGTCACTGGTACGGAAATACATAGGAAATTAAAAATGTTACAGTTGTCACTGGAACAGAAGGTGAGGGGAAATCTTCCAATGGGGACACCTGGTCCCTTACTTTAGAAAGGTTTCTTCTCACTTCCTGTACTGTCTCTATGACAGAGAATAAAAGCAAAGCTCTGCAACGGGACACAGAGAGGTTTTCTTCCTTCCCTACTTTACCTAAGTTACCTAAATTTTTATTTACGTAAAATAAAAAGTTTTGACCCTAGATGTTACACAGCATAACTAGGTCAGTGAATTCATTTTACTCCATTTTCTTTAAGCAATACAGCTTGGTCAGCAACCCACCCCAAGCCTACTGGACCATTAAATTATATCTAAAGCCAAATACTTACATGTGCCTGTTGTACTTAAATGTGTATTCCAAAATCCTGCTGCACTCCTTACCGGGTATCCCTATCAGCGTGGGTGCTCGAAGTGACCGCGGATGCCGCCCCCAATACTGAAACTTGTTAAAGGTGTGACCAGCACACCATATTGAAGTGAAGAACACAACTGTTTATTGACGCTTCATGTCAAAACAAATAACAACCTTTCGGGAGCACATGGGTCCCCTTCTTAGGGTATGTTCACACCACATGCAGTGCGTTCTGGCCCGATTCTGGCCAGAACGCACTGCAGCACATTGCAGCCGGCTAATTTTTTTGCGGGGCAGGAGGGGGCGTGGCAGGCCATTGAAGGGAATGGCACCGTAGCCACCATAGCCTCCAGCTGCAATGCGATTGTCCACACAGGATCGCAAGGCACATTGTGCCTGCGGTCCGGTGCGATCAAAATGCTGCAAGCACTACGCACAATGCGATGCAGTGCGTTCTGGCCAGAATCGTTCCGGAATGCACTGCATCTGATGTGAATTTCAGTACAGCGCTGCATGACGGAATAAATGTCAGTCAAAGTACCGCAGCGCTGAATACTGAAAAATGGCCTGGATGGGAAGGGGGTTTAACACCGCGGATGTCAACTGGTTAAGGCTTGAAATGACAATGCAGCTAAAGAAAAAAAATGTTTTTCTTTAGCAGTATTGTCAATTCAAGCCTGATGAAGGGAGCTCTGTGTGGCCCCGAAACATTGTTATTTGTTTTGACATGAAGCATCAATAAACAGACGTGTTCTTCACTTCAATATGGTGTACTGGTGACATCTTTAACAATGTTGTACTTAAATGAACACAAAAGCCAGTATAGGGTAACTTGACACAGTTGGGGCAGAGCTACATAACTAGGCCTGGACACTGTCTCCATGTTGGTGTTATATGTCAATATGCTATGTACATGT